TATAGAACAAAAGAGATTGAGATGAGAATTGATGTAAAAGAGATTGTTTTCTAATAAATTAAAAGCATGAGTTGATGAAGATTTGATTTTCTCGTTGGAATATACATAATTACATTGTTCTTTAGGAACAAGAAAATAAATAGGTGTTTAGTCATTAACAAAGTGATATCCAAAAACATCAGCAGAAGAAGCAAGAAATAAGAAAAAATCTATTAGAAAACTTTGAGATACATTAGCCAAGAATCCAACATCTAGTTTGAAGAACCACAACTAAATAACATTAGGTAGATAATATAAGCAAATGGAATAAATTAGCATAAAAGACAAGTTAGATTAACAACATCTTGGCAGAAACCGTTAAAACAGGGTAGCTGGCAGCGATATTGTTGCAGCATAGTAAAAACATTTAAAACAAAATTTATGTCGTTATGAAGTTGTGTATAAAATAAAAAACAAGAGTCAGCATAAAAGATATGTACAGTTGCTGTTAATTTAGAAATTAATGTACTATGTTCTAAATGTTACGCATTCTTACTTTTATTTGAAGGCAATTCATCAGTCTCTCGACTCATCTCATCTTGTCTCGTCACCTCTCCTCAACTCGTCTCCTCATCTAACTGACTTTGTTTAAATAAATTAAGAGTTCAAATGTAACTCCAACTATTCTCTAAACAATCACTAACTTTGCATACAATTGCAACTATAGATAAGTAGGATCGGAGTAGTATTGCTAGGTCCAAACAGAGGTGGGTACCGCTGGAGTCGGGATACAAACTAAACACAGATGGCTTTTATAACTAATCTACCAAAAATGGGCGAGCTGGAGGAGTCATGTGTGACAACAACGTCTGTTGGATAATAGGATTCTAAGCAAGAATAAATTGTTTCAACTCTCTACATTCAGAACTACTAGCTATGGTAATAAGACTGAAAATGGTGGCTCTACGGAATATCTCCAATCTACAAATTGAAACTGACTCAGCAAAAACAGTGCACCTGATTCACAAAGGTCATGATTCATACAACTAATATAATTTTTGAATGCAGACAGTTGCTCCAGAGGGTGGGGAACCTATGGATCAGCCATAGTCGCAAGGAGCAAAATCAGGTGGACTGTAATATTTCTGTTGAGTCAGTTTCAAACGGACCGAATGAATAACATAAAAGATGAGCTGGAGTAATAACATGTTGGCAGAAAACGTTAAAACAGAGCAGATGATCACAGCAGAGCAGAAAATTAATGTACTATATATGTTCTAAATGTTGCATCTCTAAGCAGGAACTAATTTTAACTCTAACTATTCTCTAAGCAGTAACTAATTTTGCATATATTTATAGACAAGAATCCAACATATATTTTTAGAAACCACAACTTAACAACATTTGAGAGGAAATAGAAACAAACGAACTGAGTGAATAACATAAAAGGCAAGCTGAAGTAACAACATGTGGGCAGAAAATGTTAAAATAGAGCAGTTGGCTGCTATGTACTAGCAAATGTGTCTCACATCTATGTTTTTATACTTGGAGTTTCTAATATTTACTTGTAACCAAGAAGATGAGTCATTGAATTACAAGTCATATACTTGTATATTTATGTATCATGTGTATGGTCGCAAAATCCCAACACCCAATAATTTTTGCAGTTGAAATCATTAACCTAATAAATGTTAAAAAAGATGAAGAAGAAGTAACTTGAATAGACAAGAAAAAAACGTTATTCATATAACTTATGAAAGAAACACAACAACTCGATCGAAAGATGAACCCACCTGAAATATTGTCCCAAGCAAAGCTGTGTTGGATTATATTTCGAACAGTGCAACAACAACTCGATCAGAAGAATGAACACACCTGAAATTTTGTCTCGAGCAAAGTTTTAATGGATTCTATTTCAACCAGATCGAGTAACAACAACACGAAGAAGAAGAAGACACCTTTACCAATTTAATGGAAGAATGTCGTTGAGATTAGGGGAGACAACAATAGCACAAAGAAGAATACACATCTATCTATTGAAGGGGGAAAGCATCGCTGAGATTAGCTAGGGCAGCTGGGTTTCATTCATTCTCAATTGTAGTGGTGATCTGAAGAGATTAGGGCAACTTTTAGGATAAGCTTTTATTTTGAGAATTAGTTTTTTTCTTTTTACTTTTAGAATTAATTTTTTAGCGCCTCAAATTTGATAAAAGAAAAACTTTTCGTATTGGCGGAAAGACTTTCCCGCTCAAGCCTCAAAATATGCATCCAATTACATTTACACTTTATTCTTTGGAAACTAAATCTCTTGTTGTTGAAAATAAAAAAATTAAAAGGAAGCAGGTGGACACGTGGGGGGATGGATTGAAGTCAAGGCAGTGGCGCAGTCCACCGTGGAGTTGTCGGCCACATAGGAAATATTTTATACTTCCTCCGTTTCATATAATTAATTATCACATTTTTCTTTCACATGTTTATTAAGAAGTTATAATAAAAATATTTTTATTTTCTTCGTTCATTTTTTACTTGATCAATATTGACTTAGTACTAATCTTGAAAGGTACTCCCTTTGTCCAAAATTATGTGGCATCTTTCAATATATTTTTTAATTATTTTAATTTATAGTAATTTTTACTTAATTTTGAAATATGAAAAATTTATTTCAAAAAATTTAAAGATTTCATGCCGAAAAATTCATGATCAAATTTAAATTATTTGATTTTCGAAATTTGAAATGGTATCACATAAATTAAGACATAAAGTAATAAATGAAATGACAATTTGACCATATCACCCTTTGAATATAATAATTTTAATATTTTTAAAATATATATATTGAAAAAAATACTATAGCTAATAATAAGAATAAATTAAGAGCTAGTTAGTAACTTTTTTAGGGACCGAATTTAATGTCTTCACAATAACATATACCAATAAGGACAAAAATATAATCTCGTCCCAATAGATATACTTTTAGAGACAAGAATATAGACTTGTCCTTAAATATTGGTCTTAATAAAGGCTTTTTCTTGTAGTGAAAATTAAAAGTGCTGAAAATTTTGGGGGAAAGTTAAAATGTCATCTAATATTTTTTTTAAAATTCGCGGAAAAAATGGTTCATTAAGTTAAAGATTTTATAATTTATTGTCTTTTTATTAAATTGAGACGGAATGTAAATCCGTCATAATATTTTTGATGATTTTGTGACGACATATATTCATTTATTTTTATTTGCTATCATTTTGTGACGGAAATGTTCCGTCACAAAACTTATATTAAGTATTTGTTATAAATCTATCACAAATCCGTCACTTTCAGAATTTTAGTAGGTAAAAAAATTCTTTTAATTTTTTTTATTTCTATAAGATTAATCTGTCACAAATCCGTCAAAATTCCGTGACAATTTGTGACAGACTTCTTCGTTTCAAATATCCGTCACAATTTTACTCTTTTCTTGTAGTGCACATCGTTAGTCATTGCCATCACCGATTATTTTTTAAATATATTTTATTGATATAATATTAGATTGATTAGTATTATATATACATATTATACTTATTATTTTATAATCAAATAAATTAACTTTTAATTCTTTGAATATATATATATATATATTAACATTTTACTAAATGACTTATAATATTGACAAAGCATGGTGAAACTACTATATATAATGTTATTTTCTTTTATTAATCTATTAAAAATGATATATTTTCATATTTAAAATAACTTATAGCTAGATACTTTTTATTTACTTCTCATTAATTGTATGATCACAAAAATATCATGATAGATTTAAATTGCATACTGAATTAACAGTCGCTACATAAATTAAAAAGGAGAAAGTGAATAATCACTATAATAAAAGAGTTATTTAGTCGCATTTTTTTTAACAATAATATTTTTCTTATAAAATCATTTAGCAATAATTAAATCAATATTATTACATACTAAATCAACAATCGACACATAAATTATAAATAAGAGAATGAATAATAGGACCATGGGTCCATCATCGACCATATATTGAAATTTGAATAAATTACATAATTACACGATAACACAATCTCTAAAAACTTCTACTATCATTTAAATTAATTACAAAAATCTCTTTTTTTCTTCTCTCTTAACATCTGGATACTTTACTTCACCTCTATCAGATACATTACAACTTTGTTTGTGTGCAATGTATCTGATACAGATGTTGATGCATAATAACATCAATTATTTCAAACCTAAATCAATATGAATCTGGTTTATAGTTATACATATGATACATAGCTTATGTATTGTTTACTATGTATTGGGCGAAAGAACAATGCCTCTGCAAGTTTTGAAAACCCCAAAATTATTATAATTTAAAAAAAATCGGAATAGAATGTAATTACTGTCCAAACTATTGGGATTTCTTTACTTTATACTTAAAATTTTACCTAACCAAAGAATCCAAACCAAAATTTTATACCTCAAACTAATTTACCTAACCAAAGAATCCAAACCAAAATTTTATACTTCAAACTAATTTACCTAACCAAAGAATCCAAACCAAAATAATATAATAGCTAGGTAATATAACATTTTCTAGGACCGGCATGATCCAAGAAATATTTTTAATCCTCAAACCATTGACTAGTTATGCTACATGCATGCTTTATCTCAATTGATGTGAAAAGTTTATGTTACTCCGTCTCAAATTAATTGTCATATTTCTCTTTTTGCAACTACTCAGTTTGACTCATCTTGAAATTAAATTAGAATAGATAAGCTCAACATTTATATTAAAAATTTTGATATTCAAAAACTATATGATAAGTACTATGAATTGCAATTTTTCTCATGTTAATTTGATTAAAAAAATATATTTTAAAATATTAGTCAAAAATCATATAGCAGTCTGACTCTCGAGAAGCAAAACAAGACAACTACTATGGAAGGGAGGGAGTACCTTACCCACAATCCAAGTCTGACTTTTAAATTTATAAAGCAAAAATTCTCAACTACTCCAATAGGTATTACCTTTGGCTTCTTCCCTATTTATTCAACAAAAACACACCACTAATCTAAACTACTACAAGATACAAATTAAATTAAACACAAGGGGTGGCCAAATCCATTGAGAACATATAAAAAAGTTAGATTGAGATGGAAATTATTGTGGGTACAAAATTTGGTTCATCATGTGCCAAATTATTATTGTTAGTGTGTTTGTTGTTTGGTTGTGTTGTTGAAGTTTCAGTAGGAAGAACATATATAGTTGCTGATAGTCTTGGTTGGCAAACTCCTCCTAATGGTGTTGTTACTTTTTCCAATTGGGCTAATCAACATACTTTTGTTGTTGGGGACATTCTAGGTGAGTATATATTACTTTTCTCCGATCTATTTTACTTGTCACATTTTTTTTATCAATATATTTAAAAGAAAATATTGACTAAAAGGATAATTTGACTAAATTATTTGTACTTATTCATTAATTTTAGTTCAATTCTATTTTTTTTAAATCATATTAATTAATTTCTCTCCATATGTATTAAGAGTACATGTGAAAATAAATAAATAATTATATCCTAATTTTTAAAAATGACTCAAAAATTCTCATTACTTTTTAAAATTACTTCATGTCGTTTTAAATTTAAAAAAAAAACATAAAATAAAATTGCTGATAGAAACATGATATTCTAAGAAATAGGAAAAGAAAACAATAAAAAAATTATGTTATTCCTTTTTTCAGATATAATTATTACAACCTTTCAATCTCCTTACAAAAATCATCACAAAATTTCATCGAACATGACACTTTTTAAATATAATTATAATAAATATATTTCAACCTCCTATAGAGAAATCATCACAAGATTTCACAAAACAAGACTATCCTTTTTAGTTAGCTTGAATTTAAAATTATATGAGTATCCCAACAGAGTTCAATCTTATCATCATCGCTCAATCCACAAATCCGCACAAACAAGTTCATAATCATCGTTTGGCATCATCTGGATATAAACGCTTCTATATTATTTAGGGTTGTTTTCTTCGGCAACGTTAAAAAAGTGGGTAGGAATTTATAGAGATGTTTTGGTATTAACTTTGGAAGGTATATGACACTATAATTAATTTTCCAATTAAGCTTTATTTCATACAATTAAAATCAGATTATTGCAATTAATTGTATTTTCAAATTTTCTCATCACTTTCCTTTACAACTTGATTTAATGAATTTCACACACAAGCAAGTTATTTAAATATAATCACAAGTAATTTTTTTTAATAAATTTATAATAAACAATGAATAATCAGTTATAATGAATCAAATTACACTAATGATTAATTATGTTTGACACATATCACATACACAAGCAAAAGATTCTACTTAATAGTTTTTGTTTTTATTCTTAGTGGACATTTTATTAATTAATGGTTCAATTATGCCATCGAACTATTAAAAATGACTTATTTATATCATTTGTTAAATATTTTGCTCATTTATGTCACCATCATTATAACACAGACTTATTTATGTCATTATTATTCTAACAGGGTGATTTTGTAAAACCAACTTTGCCACATGACCTCTTGTTAGAGGTCCACATCACCAAAACAAATTCATTAAAATTCTGACCCATTTAAAAAATAACTCACCCACATTTTGTTGATTTACCCAACTTAGACTAACTGAACCTCACCCATTGAATTTGGGCTGAATTCAGGAACAATTTGAGCATAAGGTAACTGTGGTGTGAGAGTGCAAATCCTTCTTTGTTACCCAATAAAATTGATAAAAAAAATAAAAAATAAAAAAGTACACATTAGGGAGTTTGATGGCACATTTTGAGCCAAAATTTATATTATTAATAATATTAGAACCTAAAAAGAATAAGTACTTGATTTCTCTGATCTATTTTACTTGTCATGTTTTTTTTCACACAATATTCCTTGAAGAAAATATTGACTAAAAGAGTAATTCGATTAAATTATATTTATTTATTCTTTGATTTTTGTTTAATGCTACTTTCTTTTTTACCATAGTAATTTCTCTTTTTATGTATTGAGTAAGAGTACAGATGAAAATTAATAAATAATTATATCCTAATTTTTAAAATAATAATAAATTTTAGATCAACTATTTTTAGTAAGCATGATAACTAAAAAAGATAAAAAAGAATAATAAATGAACTACTATGGTTATTATTGTTAAGATTAGCTTATATTTGCTGACAATAAAAGAATTTTTTTAATTAAAAAAGGTACGTTAATTTAATCAGAGATAGCAAGTTATTACTTTTTCTACCTTAATTTATGTGGTGTTATTCAAATTTTTAGAGTTGATTTTTTTTTTAAAGAAAAATAATCACTAATTCGGACATGAAATCTGATCTTGAAGCTTTTTGAAACTACAATTTGCATATTTTTAAATCATTTTAAAAACAGTATTAGTAACAACAATTGACAGTTTAAATATTTTACTAGGTATTAAAAAATGGAAAAATGTTCAAATATGTCATCGAATTTTGAGAAAAGGTTCATCTATGTCATCCGTTAAAAGTTTGGCTCATTTATGTCATTTCTCTTTGTGAAAAGGCTCATCCATGCCATTATTTGTAAACTAAAAATATTTTTTATTTTGCAAAGCCATTTTGTACACGTGGTCAATTATGATTCGTCCACGTCATTAATTAAATTATTTTTTAAAAGGGAAAAAGACGCAAATATGCCATCAAACATTGAGAAAAAAGCTCATCTATGTCATCCATTAAAATATTGGTTCATCTATGTCATTTCAGTTAACAAATAATAATGGCATGGCATGATCCTTTTCTCAAGAAAATGACATAAATTAAATAAGCCAAACTTTTAATGGATGACATAAATGAGTTTTTTCTCAAAATTCGATGGCATATTTGAGTCATTTCCATTAAAAGTTTGTGATAGAAAATAACTTAATTGACTCTTGAAATTTAAATGATGTCACACAAATATCGGCGCTAATCAAATAGATTTACCAATACCAATAATAAGTAAGTTATATTGATTCATGTTTAATCTAATTAGTATTTTTATAACAAGTGATTTGTCTTAATTTCAAAAATTTTATTTTTCTATAATTGAAGTGTTACTTACAAAAAATAATAATTAAATAACTTGTTATCATAAATTTTCTTTACGTCATCGGTGTATATAAGTAAAATTTTCTTTCATATCTTATCTATATATCCAAAAGTTAATGTAAACAAGCAGAACTCATGAGGGGAATGTTAATCAAGTTCATATATAAGCAGACTATCAACCTAATTAATGTGGGATTTTGTATCATTCTAACACTTCCTTTATGTCGAAACTCAATTAGATCATGTACAATATATTAACATGACATGAATGATCCATCTCTGATATTATATAAAGATGTGACGTATAGTCTTACCTTAATCTCAAAAGTTAGTTACAGAGATAAAATTGTTTGAATTCATATAAACAGATTATTAATTCATTTTTCAAACAGTATGAAATGTTAACTCACTCTAACACCTCTTTTAAGTCTAGACTCAATTGAAACGTGGACAATATAACATGAGGGCCCAAACAAAGAAAGATATGACTCTAACATTATATGAAAAATATGATACTTGAGGTTAACTCAACTTCAAAAGCTAACTCATGAAGAAAAAATTGTCCAAATTCATATTAACAAACTACCAATCTATTTTCCATCCAATGAGAGACTTTAACTCACCCTAACAGTTCCAAGTATAATATGTCTAATGGAAGCAACAAAGGAAACCCACAAATTCTTAGAATAATTAAGAAATAAGAAATATTCAACAAACAAATTACTTAGTCTAATAGGAGGCTAGATTAGTGCGTTACCATATCTAAATATATACTTGAATATAAACTTATAATTCTCTTGATTATGTGGCCACTCTATTTATATTAATGGTGCGTCTGTGCGATCATCCCACTAGCATGTCTAATTGAATTTTTCTTTTAAAAAAATCCTTTAATTAAATGTATGAACTAGCGTGCAAAGTACAAACTCTAAAAAATTAAATATAAAAAAACTAGGCAGCTTGCGCACACCTAACATGAATCGAACCTACAAACTGAGTATAGGATTCACAACTCAAGTTGCACAGTCTAGTATCACTGAGCTATCTCTCTTCTTTGATTTAGGTGGTTCAAAATTAGTATATATACAAAAATATTGAAAATCTACCTTATATATACGGTGTAATTTTTTGCCGAGAGGATTCGGATGAACCCCATGGCATCCACGTAGGTCCGCCCTTATATGTGAGCCACTTTTTAATAAGGAATATATGAACTCTAAATCGTAAAGTCGGGGGTATATGTATCCCTTTTCCCTTATATTAATTGTTAGACTTTGTGATTTTTTTATTAGGAAAAACTACATAAATTGGCCATAAAACTCAAAATAATTACATTGTCATACCCTAATCTAAAGTAATTCAAGAAATACTCATTCTCTCAAAAAGAAATTACAGCCTATACCCCCAAAAATTAAGACTGATAATTTTCACTTAACTGATACTAAATTTGTATCATATGTTGTATTGGTAGATAATTTTGCTTAACTGATACTAAATCAGTTTATATTGTAGTGTCATTAAGATTTCTTGTTAAGAAATTACTCATTAGTCAATAATATTATAAGAGTATATATATATTGTTGTGATATCATTAAGGTTTCTTTTCAGAAATTATTCATTAGTCAATGATAATTAATATATATATATATATATATATATATATATATATATATATATATATAGTGTAATTATTTAGTGGAGTATGAATATAAAGGGATATATGTTTATAATTATTTTGTTTTTATGAGACCTTTTTATTACTTATGTCATTTTTCAATATGTACACTTCTAAAATTTCAATTGTATGCAGACTTCAATTTCAACAGTGGAGTACACACAGCAACTAGAGTAAACAAAAATGCATTTGATAGTTGCAATGCTGCAAATCCTATAGATAATGAAACAAATGGTCCAGCAAAATTCACTCTTAATACTACTGGGGATTATTATTTCATTTGTACTATCCATTGCAACCAAGGCCAAAAATTAACGGTCAACGTCACGTTGACCGGATCCCCGTCCGGAAGCCCTATTCCCAGTTCATCTCCGTCAACACCCGGTGGTGAGTCATCTCCTCCTCCTCCTACGTCTCCATCGGGATCCGTGTCGACTAGGGTGGCTGCTTTATGTGTCATGTTAGTGCCCATTGTGTTAGCACTAACACTTTTGGCTTAGTGTTTGATATCGGAAATTATTATTTTTGAGTGTTTGAAGTTAGTATTATAAATAAACAGTTATGTGTGTGGTTTGAAGTATTGAATATGATAATAAGCGGTTGATGTGTTTGATGAAAAAATATTTGATAAATTACTTAATTATATTATGTTGGAGAAACAAGACATTGTTTTTAAGAATATTTTATCAAGAAAAATGTAACTCCAATTTTTTTATCGAAAGATAGTAAGAAAGTAAGGATAACAATATTGACAAGGGAATTAGACAACATTCGACTAGACACAAATCTTCTAAGCTAATATTTCTCAACTTTCATATCTTCCTATTTGATTAGGGGCATGTCTTTGTTAAGCTGTATGTGAATCTGAGTCATGTCTTGTCTAATCACCACGACTTTTTGAGCCTACATCTACCTCTACTTATACGGTTATACCACTATTGCCAACATTTCACACCTCCTCACTTTTCAAAATTAGTTGATTTTAAACATCTCCTATTTTATTTTTTGCTTAATAATGGAAGGATTTTATTTAATAATAATAATAAGGTTTATACCCACTATACCCAACCTCGCACATATGTTCACTTTTAAAAATAAATTGATTTTAAACTCTTCTTATATCCACTATCGTCCGCTTCTCACGCCTTATTTTTTAAAAATAAGTAATTTTAAAAGCTTGACAAAACAAACTATCAACCGGTCATAGGATTAGGATCTAACAACATGGAGCATGTATGAGTATTTTAAAATATTTTTAGGTCAAGGGGTTGACCCATTAGATGTGAAATGGACCATGGAAGCTCACCCACCCCCCTTTGGACATTTTTGCACCAATTATATATATAATATAAATACATATCTTTTTTGGATTGTCAATAATGCTGTTCTTGTGATTAAAAATAAAAATAAATCGAAACATCTATTTTGGACTAACTTTGTCCGATTGGGTGGGTTGTTGATATTATTATAATTATATTTTAGAAAGAAAAAAAATATGTTACGTACATCGGATAATTGGAAAAGGAAAAGAAAGTAGAGTAGAAATAACATTAACTAACTACTTTTCAACGTTATTATTTAATTTTTATTTTTTAAAAATAGTCATTCTCATCGAATTTCAAGTTTCACATATGAAGATTGATCATGACAATATCATGAAGTTTCACCTGTAGATCGATATTATATTTGTCATTTAAATACAATAAATTCAGCTTTATCAGTAAAAAGGATACAACAATACAAAAAAAAGAAAAAGAATCAATGCAAAAACTAAAAAATTAAATACTATAGTACTCTCTAATTTAACAACCTAACTAAGGCAAATGACAAGAAAGTGAGTGGCAAAGCAGCAAGAACCAAAGATGGAGCTGAGGCACTTGGTGCTGGTGGTGAATTGACCGGAGAATCGCTCGATGGCACGGTGGGGCTGGATGGTGTAGATGCGGTGGAAGGCGTGGGACGGTCACGTCAGTACCGGTGACATTGATGGCTAATTTTTGACCCAATGAACAGTGTCTAGGGAATGTACACATATAGTAATGTTCACCAGAATTTGTGAGTCTAATTCTGGTTGGACCATTGGTAATTGTGTTTATTGGAGAAGTTGTGTTACATGAGTCATAAGATGCCTTGCTAACCATTGCAACATTGTGTGTCCCATTCAAAAAATTGAAAACTACATTTTAAAAAATAATTATTATAAATGGAGCAATCATAGATCACAATGAGTCAATGTCTATCATAATTGATAACCTGATAAAAATCATAAATGAAAAACAATAGAGTTGAATTGTAGTGCTTACCAAGAGTATCTCCAACTTTGAATGATTTGCCATTAGCCCATCTTTGATAAGTATTTGGGCCACTAGTAGGAACACTCCAACCCAAGTTATCTCCAACAATATAAGTTTGGGCTACACTAGTAGGTGCAGGTGCCGTTGCCGGAGCGACCGACACGGATGGGGCTGGAGCCATCACCAGGGTGGTGTTGGGTGGAGTGGCGGGGGCTGGCTAAGGAGCGGGAGAGGCGGAACCGGAGACGTTAATAGCCAATTTCTGGCCTAATGTACAATGGCTTGGAAATGTACAAAGATAGTAATGTGATCCAACAGAGGTCAATGTAATATTTGTTGGGCCATTAGTAGAAATTGAAATTGGGCTTGAAGTATTGCATGAATCAAAAGCTCCTTTTGACACTTCAGCCACACAATGTGATCCAGTTCTAAAATTAAATACTGCATGAAAAAAAAGTTCAAATTAAATTTATTACGTTAAAAAATCGCGAAAAGTATTGATTTTGATTTTTTAAAACATATTTATTCTAAATTCACCGACTCTAAATCGTGAATTTGGCATGATTGTTAGGTGGGGAGTATGGACTAGTATTATCTAACTATATACATAAAAGTTGAATGGAATGTAGTGTGTCTAAAAAAATATATATAGCTGTCATAACTTTGTAAGTATTTGGCACTACATATGACAAAATATATACTACTATTAATTGAATAAAAACAATATAAGTGGGAAGGAATCTAGGTGCTAATAAAAAAAGTAAAAGGTGGTATCACCCAGTACCCATAAACACTATTTTAGAGTAAATAAACATAGGTAACGAAAAGCAACACAAAGTGGAAATTTTGGTCGAGTTTACATAAGATAAATACAAAATAAAACTTCTTAAGATAGGAGGATTTGTAATCTTGAATATAAATCAGGGTAGGATGACCAATTACAGAAGATGTATATAATTTAAACTCATTAAAAATTCATGTTAGATTGGTAACTTAAATAATTCAATGAAATATAGTAACTAACATGATATCACATACTAAAATTCACTAAATAGTACTTCCTCCATTCTAATTTATATGATTCGTTTTCTTTTTAGTTAGTCCTAAAAAGAATGACATATTTTAATATTTAGTAATAAAATGATTTATAGCTAGAAGTATTTTTTATTTCTTAAATTCAGTGTCAAATCAAACTACATCACATAAATTGAGACGAAGAAAGTAGTATACTAACCAAGAACGTCACCGACGGCAAAGGTTTTCCCAGCGGCCCAGGTGGAATAAGAGGCGGCGCCACCATTAGGAACGGTCCAAGCCAAAGTATCACCAACAACATGAGTTTGTTGTGCCATTGAAACACTTGTAAAATTTCAAATTGTATGCAGAGTTCAATTTCAACAGTGGAATACACACAGCAACTAGAGTAAACAAAAATGCATTTGATAGTTGCAATGCTGCAAATCCAATAGATAATGAAACAAATGGTCCAGCAAAATTCACTCTTAATACTACTGGGGATTATTATTTCATTTGTACCATTCATTGTAACCAAGGCCAAAAATTAACGGTCAACGTCACGTTGACCGGATCCCCATCCGGAAGTCCTATTCCCGGTTCATCTCCGTCAACACCCGGTGGTGTATCATCGTCTCCTCCTCCTCCTCCGTCTCCATCGGGATCCGTGTCGACTAGGGTGGTTGCTTCATTTGTCATCTTATTGCCCATTGTGTTAGCACTAACACTTTTGTCTTAGTGTTTTATATTGGAAACGGAAAAGGCTCAAAAATACCCCTAAACTATCGAAAATAGCTCAGATTTACTCTTAAACTATATTCTGGCTTAAAATTACCCTTTTCGTCAAAGTATTGGGTCATACTTACCCTTCTAATTAACATAAAATGTTAAGTGCCACGTGGACACCACATGGACGCCACATAAGCGTCAAACATTTCTCACTTCCACGTAGACTAATAAGATCCCTAATATCTAATTTTCATCTCATTTCTCTTAAGATACGATTTCACCCATTTCCCCTCATTTTCGCAGCTAGGATAAGAAAAGAAATCTGTGAAATCGTTTATTACCTAGCCACGAAAATGAGGGGAAATGAGTGAAATCGTATTTTAAGAGAAATGAGGGGAAATTTTGATATTAGGAATCTTATTAATCTACGTGGAAGTGAGAAATATTTGGCGCTTATGTGGCGTCCACATGACACTTAACATAGTTTTGTTAATTAGAAGGGTAAGTATGACCCAATTCTTTGACAGAAAGGGTAATTTTGAGCCATAATATAGTTCAAGGATAAATCTGAGCTATTTTCGATAGTTTAAGGGCACTTTTGAAACTTTTCAGTATTGGAAATTAACTTACTTTTTTGAGTGTTTGAAGTTAATTTTATAAATAAACAGTTATGTGTATGATTTGAAGTGTTGAACATGATAATAAGCGGTTGATGTGTTTGATGAAAAAATATTTGATAAATTACTTAGTTTATAAGTATTTTGAATATTTATCAAACTTGTAAATACGTTAAATAGTGTTTATAAGCTGAGCTAAACACGTTTTAAGTATATTGTTTATTGAAATCGGGGGATGTTCATAACTTTAGTTTTGGCTCTTTTTATATCCACTATCGCCAGCCTCTCACACCTTATTTACTAAAATTAATTAATTTTAAAAGCTTGGCAAAACAAACTATTAACCTTTATTGGCAAAAAATAATGTTAATTCCGTATAAAAGAAAAAAGGAAAAAAAAAGGAACCAATAGAAAAATTACATAAAATCGTAGTACTCTCTAATTCAACAACTTCACTAAAGCAAATGACAAGAAAGTGAGTGGCAAAGCAGCAAGAACCAAAGATGGAGCTGAGGCACTTGGTGCTGGTGGTGAATTGATCGGTGAATCGCTCGATGGCACGGTGGGGCTGGATGGTGAAGACGCAGTGGAAGGCATGGGGGCGGTCACATCAGTACCGGTGACATTGATGGCTAGTTTTTGACCCAATGAATAGTGTCTAGGGAATGTACACATATAGTAATGTTCACTAGAATTTGTGAGTCTAATTCTGGCTGGACCATTGCTAATTGTGTTAATGGGAGAAGTTGTGTTACATGAGTCATAAGATGCCTTGCTAACCATTGCAACATTGTGTGTCCCATTCACAAAATTGAAAACTACATTTAAAAAATTAATAATTATAAATGGAGCAATCATAGATCACGATGAGTCAATGTCTATCATAATTGATAACCTGATAAAAATCGTAAAGAAAAATAATAGAGTTGAATATTAGTACTTACCAAGAGTATCTCCAACTTTGAATGATTTGCCATTAGCCCATCTTTGATAAGAATTTGGGCCA